TGTCCACCTGCCAGCGGGGGAGGGGAGTGGCGCCGCGGGTCAGAGGTCGCCGGGCCTCCGGCCTTCGTCATTCATAAGGCCCGGCGAAGGCTAGCTGCCGCAGGCCCGGGGGTGGGGCTGGGGCTCCTGGAGGAGGCTGGTCCTGGGGAGCAAGGGGCGATTGGGAGGGAGCCCTGTGTCCGTCCCGTTGCCGAGCGCCCATACTGGGCTCGTGCCACTCGTTAAATACATTACTTCTCAACAAGCCCTGTCACGCAGGTAGTATTATCACTCCCATTTTACAGATGAGGTAGCCGGGGCAGCGACAGCCTGAGGATTTTGTCTGGGCAACGCAGAGGGAATCTGCCTTCCAGGAATTAGCAAGATGCCCTTTTCATACGTTTCCCGTCAGTGTTTTCCACTGCCACACCACTGACATTTGGGGCCTGATCATTCTTTGCTGGGAGGATTGTCTTGTACAGTATAGCAAACCCCCAACCCCGTTTAGCTGCATTCCCAGTTTCTCTACCCACTGGATGCCTGTAGAACCTCTTTATCCTCCACCAGATGTGACAATCAAACCCATCTCAACATTGCTAAATGTGCCCCGGTGGGGCAAAATTGCCCCCAGTTGAGAGCCACTAAAGCAGGGGAAAGCCCAAAAAGGAGGCGGACAGAGGGGCAGGGGACTGGAGGGGTTTAGGAGGTCCTAAGTCTACCAACCAGCCAACTCACTGCTCTGCCTATAAGTTTGTACAACCTGCACTCTACCCAGCTGCTGTCTACACCCATGTTCCTAGCTCAACTACAGTCTCAGGAGGGGAAGAGTTGGGCTTTTATGTGAATTATGGGGAAATGGCTCACCAGCCAAACCACTCCAGCTCTGGCTGTGGGTTTACAAAGAAAGGTTAAGAAAAAGTTAATAAAAGTGTTGCTGTGTCCTTGGAGTACAATGTTAACTTCTTCTTGTGGGTCAAGGTCAACGTCTGAAAAAACACACCACTGGTTATGCTCTACAACAGCTGCATTGCTTAAGCTTCAACAAATAAAAACCCCTTTCCAAATCTCAGTCTGGATTACAAATATACAACCAATTAGGATTAGAGCAAGGAGATAAGAGGCAGTCAACTCACTGGCCAGGGCAAGAGGACCCCCACCCTATGTTCCAAGGAAAGATGGACAAAGCTGCCTCAGTTCATCTAAGACAAAAGCAGAAACAATCAGTCTAGAGGAAATGCATTTTTAGATCAACCAAACATATTTAATACAAAAACCTTTTAATATACAAACTGTAATCAACAGCATCCACATAGCAGCAAAGGGATGGGGAACATGGCTAAGGAAGGTGGTTTTCAGGGTCCCTACTGTTTCCCATGCCTGCAATCACTCCATAGCCTGTGAGAGCATAAGGTCTTAGCAGAGGGCAAAGGCAGCCAGAGGTCCTGATGCCAAAACAAAGCCTGGTCAGCGGCTGCTCCAACAGTGGCAGCCTCCAGGGAAATCCAGATCCAGTTAGGAGGTAACAAGAAGGTGGTTGTGACTGAGAGGATAATCAACCATTATTCCTCAGCATCCAGGTGAAA